ATTCACTCCTCATGTGTCATGTCTGGTTTTATTTCCCGTCTTTGTGTGTCTCCCCGTCCTGATTAGTTTCACTCACCTGTTCTTACTCCCCCAGTCAGCGCCTTCCCCTCATTTACCCATCTACCCCCCTGCCCTGCGTCAGCCTCATTGGTCCTTCCCTGCTCCTGCGTTTTTCCCAGCCAATCAGCTCCCTGCCTGTTCTTCTGCCTCATCACCTTATTCCCCTCACCTGAGCTCCTCCGCACTTTTCCTCCACCTGCACTTCATCACCTCATCAGACTAGTTTGTATTTAAGTCCTGGTGTTCAGTTCAGTCTTTGTTGGAGCCTTGAGTTGGTCGTGTGATGTTTAGTTGCTGTTTCCCTGGAATAAGAGTGACCTTTTGAACTCCTGTGGTCTGCTGTCTCCTGCATTTGGGTCCACCTGCTCCACACAACATAACATTATCTAAGTTCCCAGATCTGACATGTTCGCTAAAATTAATTAATGTCAATTTTTTATAGTCCCAAAGTTTGTTGTAATGCCCCTTTATCATAAACTTTTTTTATTTGAATTCCAAAGTTTGTTAAAGTGCCCCCACAGTTGTTACAAACTGTGATTGGAATTATCCCAATCCCAAAGTTTGTTATATTGCCTTCAAATCCCTAAATTGAAACGTCATAGTGTCCCTAAATTATCTTTACAGCAATACGTCAAATAAGGTGTAACAACCCCGAAAATTACAAAATGTTGCAAAATATTGTACAGTCCCAAAGTTTGGTAAGGTGCCTGTCAAACCCTAAAAATATGGACTCAGGAATACAAAGTAAGGATGCACGATATTAGATTTTTTGCCGATATCTGATATGCCGTTCTTTAACAACTCATTCAACTGATAACAATATCGATATATCCACTTTCCTGTCTAATTTTAGTCATCATCAAGTCTCTTCTGTAGCATACTCTTATCGTGACGGCCGACCAGCAGATGGAGACATGAAATACAATACTTTTAAATGTATGTAATATTCATTCACTGTGGGAGATAAGAAAAAGCATGTTGACTGATTCCGATATTTAATTTTAAAGCTAATATCTACTGATACTGATGATGTGCCGATATTATCCTGAATACAAAGAACATTTTTGAGGACTTTTGTGTTAAAGATTATTGCATGATTGTCTCAGAAACACACACACACACACACAGCAGGCTGCTTCTTCAGTTTCCAGATGATGTATTTGTATTTATACACGTCTCATTGTCTCTTTTCTGTCGAAGAGATTTACATCCATCATATTAGAAACAATAAAAAAATAGAACTGAAAATGTACATCATACACTTGATACATATACATATATATATATTCTGTTTTTACATAGGTAAAAATGTGAATTATATAAAAAAGACAAACCAATGAACACAACCTTTGCTCTCTCTCTTTTTTTTTACACAGTTATTATTCTCTGAAATATACATCAGGACATAAATGAAGAGGAGGCTTCAGGCACTTTCCTTTAATAGCTGAAGTGAGCGCAGGCCGGAGACGCTGCGCCCGACAGACTGACTGCTTTTGGTTCACTTTCCTCGCCACAGATAGAAAAGTAAACGTGGGAATCTTCTCTACGACAGATGACGGCAGTATCATGAAGCTTGATTGACAGGAAACAGCAGAGAGAGATGACACAGACAGACAGACAGACAGACAGACAGGACGACGGCTTTATAACAGAGGCCTTCACTGGTCCTGATTGCTGCTCGCTTCAGCCTCAAGTCTCTTTTTTTAATTAAAGATGCGTTTATGTAGCGCACCGGTGATTTTGTACGTTGCAGACGTTTAACACAAACTTCCTTTCATCAATCATTACCGTTCATTTATTTTAATATTTAAACCTGAAATTTATATGAAAAAGTGAGTTTCTATGAAAATAAAATAAAGACTTGAAACTTGCTGCGGATAGTTAATCCCAGTTGATGCAGTTGTGAGCAGAGACTATTTCTTTGTGTGTTTTAAGAACCATACTGATGTGATAGCCCTTTTTTTTTCTCCAAACCACATATACCTTACATTACAGCTAGCAATGTTTGCAAAGTTTCAGAAAATGGGGCGCCTGCTCTACCCACTAAGCCACCAACGCCCTGATGAAATATACTTTTTAATGTCTGTAATATTCATTCATTGTGCAAAACAAGAAAAAGCATGTTGGCTGATTCTGATGAGTTCATTCTAAAGCCGATATCGTGCCGATATTATCCTGCATCCCTAGTTATCACTGCATTTGTTGCCTTAACCAAATACATGAGTCTTTGTTATTAGGGTTTTTTTTTTCTTTACTAAAATACTACCAAAATCACGATCTTTGCCTAACCTTAGCCAGAGTCTTTTGCTGCCTAAATCTAAGACAGGAGTCTGGATGTGAACCTGAAGTTCTGGTGTCACAGTCCTGCAGTTTATACGCCCGCCATCCTCCCCTAACACCGCCCTTTGAAGCCTACACGGTGCATGAATGTAGTGTTTTGTCACCTAAAAAGAAACGTCTCTGAACATAATCCAGGCAGCGACTGAGTTAACAACATCATAATGAAAGCAGTTTAGTAACTAACATACGAACGTAATCTCTAGGAGACAGGGTTGGAGAGTTGGATGAAATTATGTATCGGTCCAGAAGAACATGTCTGCATCATACATTTCTGCAAACTAAGGATACGTTACATTTGTACGTTTCATTTAAATCAGCTTTTCTAAAGTGACGCAGTATATTAGCTGACTTTTCCATCAGGGGATGGATGGTGTGACACCTGGGCGAGACGCCTGCCAAGCCATGGATCGCTGTTCAAGACCAACAAACAGCAAAACCTTTTGTTTTTTAGTGAGTCATTGCCGTGTTTCAAGCTGCTTTTTAGCTCCCAAACATGTGACTGCTTGCTGCTTTTCCAGCGAAGATAGTGCCACGAAGAGTGGTTGTTTCTCACAGAAACATCACTGCGTTTTCAGTCGGGATAGTGCCACGAAAACTGGGTACTATAAGCCAAAACATGATCTTTTCTCACTGTAACTAAGTGCTTTTGTGCCTAAACCTAACCACATGTTAACCACAGCTTTGCAGAAACATAAAGAAATGTAAAGCTCCACGTAATAATCCATGGTTTGCAGAAACATACAATACCAACATTTATTCACGAGACTGAGTTGGTAAGAAACAACAGTGAGAGCCATGCTTACGTCATGTTTCCCTTCGCGCCATGATTTCCTGGCAACTCTGAATGCACCACCAAAAAGGTCCCTGCATGCAGCAGAACAACGTGATGACAAAGCAAAAATTAGATAAATAAAGTTTATCCAGCTAAGATAAAGATCAACGATCCAAAGCAAGTTTCAAGTGAGCTGATTTTCATAAAACTGAGCTGAGACCAGCGGATGCCTCGGAGAAAGGAAATCAAAGTAAAAACCTGTGGTTATGTTTGGGAAATTTTCAGCAGCTTTAAGACATAAACTGACGCTACATGGGCCAAACTGATGACGCTGCTTCCTCACAGCAAACGGTCGGACTGTTTAGTTTGTCTCCACGCACAGAAGAATTACAGGCTATTAAAACTCTGACATGATCAGACGAGACACAAAACAACAAAGAAAACAGCGAAGCACCCACATGACAAGGACAGCAAATAGTTTAGTGTTCCAGTTGCTGAAGTTTGTTCTTCTGAGTCGTGATGACGACTGAGGTTTTGGTTCCTTTCAGTCTGTGTGAACAGAACCGCGGCAGCTTATTCACTAGTTTTAGCTTCGGGAGAATCACAACCACTCTGTGCTCAGGCCTCTCAACAAAGACTCACATGTTTCTGTGAAATCAGCACAAAGTCTTAAAATGGAGGTTAAAGAATTAAGCCTGAAACAATCTCTTTATAATGAGAGATACTCCTTAAATTATTGATTGATGGCGACACAGAGCTCTTTACTGTGAAATAAAAACATGTTTTAATAAAATCTTAAGATGTATTTATTTTTATATTTTTTGTTTTTTGCCATATGTTTGAATGTCTCTTGTTTGTGTTTGATGTGAATGTAGCTAAAGTAAAGTAATTTACTGCAAGGATCAATAAAGTATGTGGCACAGTGGTGCAGTGGTTAGCTTTGTCATGGTACAGTAAGCGGGTCCCTAGTTCGAACCCCTGGGTGGGTGCTCCAGCTTCCTCCCACAGTCCAAAGACATGCAGGTGAATTGGTGACTCTAAATTGTCCGTAGGTGTGAATGTGAGTGTGAATGGTTGTCTGTCTCTATGTGTCAGCCCTGTGATAGTCTGGTGACCTGTCCAGGGTGAACCTCTCGCCCAGTGACAGCTGGGATAGGCTCCATGGGGGGGGGGCACTTTCTTTTTTTATTTTACGTTACATTCATCATGTTTTTGTTGTCTTTCTCTTTTCATCACTACAATTCATTTTCTCAGTGCTTCATGTGTGTGTGACTCTGATGTGTTCTTCTGATACTGTGCATGTTGGCAGTTTGGTGTTAAGACAGAGAGAAGGAAGGACTAGACACCACAGTGATGGAGCAGCGGCTAAAAGTATGATGGAAGCTGTGGCAGAAAAAATTAAAATATGTCAAAGAGAACTCCTCTACGTTAGGTGGAGATATTCCTCCTTTCAGCTTGTTAGTATTGGACCTTTTTCCTGTTGACCTATTACGTCACAGACCAAACAATGGACAAACAAGTTAGCTACGGTTAGCTAGCTGCTAACTGCTACCATGGTGGACAACTTTACAGCTCTGTACATTTGGTCCGTCCAAAAAGTCACGGCTCTGGATGTAGATTTCTCCATGTTGTTACCGGCTTCTTCTTCTCTTACACATTTAATGCTATTGGACTTCCGGGTCAAAGCCCGGGGCGGAAACTGTGGAGCATGCTCAGAGCGCCTCGGCCAGTTTGGGTCTGATTGACTGTATACATGCAGGAGTCACATGATCTGGGTGTGTTAGTCCCACTGTGACACATTCACTTCAGTACGATTTCAGTCAACATGTTTACATGTGTTTTAAAAGTCTGGTTTAGTCAGACTGACAATAAATCCATTTTCTCTGATGTCATGTAAACGTAATGAGTGTTAGTGTGATTACTCTCAATGCCAGAGGGGGAGACAAAAGTTCCACGCTCAAGCTTTAAGGCAAAAATACACAAAAACATTTTCCTGAAAATTAAACTGTCCATTGCTGACATGTTTATAATGCTTTCTAAATGCATATTTCTAAAACTTTTTTTAGACTTTGTGCTCATTTCACAAAAAAATGTTGTGGGACCGACTTGTCTCATGTCTTCAAACTTTTTGAAAATCTTTTTGCTAAATAATTTCTAAAGATAGCTGTATTGTGTCTGGATGAAACCAGACCCAAAAAATGAGAATTAGTGAAGAAATGTAAGTTTCAGATAAGTTTTAAGTGTGAAACTCAAATATTACGATGCTTTTCAGGGATTTTTCCAGCCTTTATGTTGATAATTATACCAACAGCACACACACACACACACACCCCACACACACTCACATTAAGCAGTGTTCTGTCGTAGCTTTGTTCTTACTGGGGTTTTTGTTCTTCTTATCAAACAAACCTCCAAACACCAAACCAGTGCAGACAGACCAGTATGACCAGTACAGCAGGAGATGTGTCAGTTGGGTTAAACTGTCCAAATTGTGTTTTGTAGCTGAAAAAACTGAGTGTTTAATCTGCACAAAACTTTTCTTATTCAGATTAAATCCAATATGCTGAGGTGCAGCTTTGCAAATTACCATTGTCACTTTGTTTCTGGATTTTTCAGGACTGGGAACAGCCATCTTACTGGTCAGCCAAACTGGTTTACCTGCTCAGTTTGCTCAGAGGTAAGCAGAGCAGCTCTCAGACCAGTTAAGTGCCTCTGCTGAACGTCAGGAGCTGCAAAACATTCACCTTATCAGCAGGACTGACTGTGTGAAGAGAATTCATGTTAGCTTACAACAAAAAGAACTTTGGAGATAAATTAGCCGTCTTGCTGAGGATCTGATGAGAAGATGGACACCGCGCTCATCTTGGTGTGTTAAAGATGGAGCTGGTGTCAAGCTGATATTTAATAAGCCTAGCTTAGCCATTAGCCATTGTTGCTTTTACATTTCTGTTTGTGTACAGATAAAACAAACTAGATATGACATATTTCTTTGTAGGTTTAGAGCTGTTGGTAAGTGTATGAGATTTGGACAGAGCAGGCTAGCTGTTTCCCCCTGCTTCCAGTGTTTGTGCTAAGCTAGGCTAACTATCCTGACATCCAGCTCTGTACTGACCAGCCAGACATGAGACAGACTGCTGCAGGAATGAGTCCTAAGACCTTGACACAGATGTGAGTTAGCATGTCAGCACTCCTGGTTCCCTCGTCTTGAAGTCAGTGGGTTTTCTGAATGGGTGTTTGGTTAGAGGCCTGAAATAAAGTCTGTGGTGAACACAGGCTTAAAAGATATTCACATTTTGTTCTACAACATAAAATATGCCAGTAAATACTGCGCTCATGAAATTTAAGACTTTTAGGAAAGATGGTTGCCAACAGGTGTCTAAATGAGACACGAGAGAACATCGCCACGCCAAAGACGACTTAACAGCCTCGTTGTGGTGACGTTGAAGTTGTTTGACTGTAGTGTAGTTTGTTTATCGGCTAACGTTAGCTTTTTACTTCTGAAGATTGCATTTAGGCTTCAGTATTATGAAAGTGGTTTTCGTGGAGATTATCTTGCTGAACAAAATGTGTAAGTATTATAAACGTTTGTTTGCCACAGAGCTTATTTTATCCAATATTCCCAAATGCAGTAGAAAAATCTTATCGGCTTTGGGCAAAGCTAAGTTCCGCGTCGGCCTACGAAAAAACATCGTCCCTACAGCTCCATATTGATTTCCATCTTCACATCTAACTTTTATCAAAAAGTGAATACACCCACTTTATAATTGTTGAAATAACCCTGCAAGGAAGTATTTTTTTTTACTGAAATAAGCTGAGCGTCCTAAAATGTCTGATAAAGGTTAAAATGTTTTGCAGCATGTCAGTGAGACGCAGTTCCCTCGACAAACAAACAACATTCATACTGATGCTGAAGAAATGACAAATTCAAGCCTTCAAAACACATGAGTGTAAAAATATAAAGTACCTGTTTATACATATATATACAGATATATATGTATATATATGTATAAATGTACATATATATATATAACTTTATATAAATGAATATTCTTTGTTCAGTCAGTGTGAGACTTGGGAGCCATTTTGGTTCCCAATATCACAAAAGACATAAAAAGAAAAAACAACAGGGAACATTTTTTTTTCCCATCTGTTGAGACAAAGTTCTTCTTCTCCTCCTCCTTCTGGAAATCGGAGACGAGACAAACACCAACAACAAAATCACAGCGGCCTCTGATTCCCATGAGTCCTTGCTTCCACTGTGAGGAGGCGGGGCCTGCGACGCCTCAGCCCACTGCTTTGTGTTTTCCGCCGCAGCAGCGGCAGGCCACGCCGCAGCGGTAGCACGCCCTGAGGGGGGCGTAGCAGCACATGCAGGGCGCCAGCAGCGACAGACCCACCAGCGCCGTCCAGCGTAGGCAGAAGCGCTCATCGCTGGTGTCACAGGAGCACGGGTCCGAGTAATCCCCCTCCGGGTCCGACATGCAGTGATACAGCAGGCTGTCTGCGCACCACATGAAACTGACCCGCCTGATGCAGGTCTGAATGGGGTCAGGAGCTTCCTGGCAGCGGCCCCGCCCGTTGTCCTCATGGTTGAACATGTCCTGACAGTAAACGCAGCGCGAGCGCTCGCCGTCCTCCTTCCGCCTCTTGCCTTTGGGCTGCAGGGCGCGCGGCTGCACCGTCACCACCGCTCGGTGTCCGCTGCCCAGCTCCAGACAGCCAGGTTTGCCGTCGCAGCCTCGCTGCACGTCACAGCTCAACGGGTAAGGGTATGTGTAGTCATGTTTGGGAGGCTCGCTCTTGGCAAAGTGTACGTAGGCGTCGAGGTTGTCGGGCTGGGTGAGTTTGTCACGCGTTGAGTTGGCGTGGCGGTAGTCCCCGTAGCCCGTGAGCCAGGTCCGCTCGCGGGGGTTGATGCGTACAATCTCTTCCTCCTCCACCTGGAAGCTGACGTGACGAGGGAACATGTGCACCGCCTGCAGAGACAGAGGAGATGGAAACTGTTTAAAGACATCGTCCTCCAGGGGACATGAGGTCATCGGAAACAGGGGAACACAGCTGCTAACAGCGTCCCATGTTTCTCTGCAAGGCCTTGTGGGTAATACAGTTGATTCAAATGAGTGTAATGAATCTCAGCACACAACATGTGGCTCTGCAGATACGCAACATCTGAAATGTTTCTGTGCGATCTGGATTTCAAAGAGATTCATGACATGTTCACCCTTCAGCTGAACTTTTGAAAAGGTAAAAGTGTTCAAACATTTCGATCCCTCAGCTTCTCTAAAGTCAAAGTTCCCTTTACTTTCAGCACCAACATGAAGCAGTTTTTTTTTGAGTGTTTCTCTGTTTTCACAGTTGTGCGAACAGTTTCACACTATTCAGCAGATCTACAGGTGGCTGTGATGGAAGAGGACTGCTAGCAGGTAAACATGGATGTAAATGATGCTGGATTTGAAATTCTTTAAAAAGGTCTTTGCAGGTCTTTTCTGAAGAAGGAAATTCATTCAACAAGTTCAATACGCTCAAAGAGACACACTGAGTTTTGGTGAGGAACTCTGACTGAATGTTTGTTTCGAAGAAAACTTCACATGACAGCTTTAAGTCAAATAATAATTCATGTGTGTCTGACTGTGGATGGTGGAGCTGCTGAATGGATTCGTGGCGTTTGTTAGTTGCTGTTAGCAGTTAGCGCCACTTGTTAGCCACTGAATGGCAGCAGGGCGAGCAGCCAACGGCCGCCGGACTTCATAGCTGATCCCTTTCACTTAAATCAAATCTGAACTGTCTCAGTGAGAAAGAGGACTCTGACTGTACTCACCTGGTCCAGGAAGTAGTGATCAGAGGGCCGGTGCTGCTCGTAGAAATGTCCCAGAATGCAGTGGTGCCGTCGGGCCTCGCAGATGTTGTGCGGGGCCAGCGTGTGCATCGCCGGCTCTCTCTTCTGGGATGAGTTGGACGAGCTGTCGGTGGCCGTCTGGAGGAAAGAGAGGAGACGGTGTGAACACAGCTTATCATTCTGCGGTGACTAGAAAACTGCATCTGCTTCATCAAACGTGATTTCAAACACTCAGGTGTGTTGCACCTCTTACCAAGTCGTAGATGTTAATTTTTTTTTTTGTTAACTAGCATTTAGAGGCTTCCTTGAACTTCTACAACTCCACTTCCTCTGTGCAGACTCCTGAGGACGATCGTGGGATCAAAAGCTCCAGAGCAGCTATGAACCAGACTTCATGATGACATACACCAAACTGTTAAAGCCCAGAGCGTCATTCACCCTCCTAAATCAAGCTAACCCACTGTCTGCAGCTGCCAAAGTATAATCTTGAATAACAGCTTCTTACTCTTGCTTTTTTCCAGCTCATGATGTCAAACCATGTGACACGTATCATCTCGGTTCCTCTCTGAAACCACCTGAGCTTCACTCCACCAGACTTCTGTGTGCAATTACACAAAAACGAGAGAGAGAAAAAAAAGACCTCCAGAACCAAAGCAGCGTGGCTTTGTGTTTTTATTGGGTCTGTGTTAAATGAATCCCAGCCTGGCGTTTTGCGGCCGGCGGCCCTGTGAGCGCTGGGCGCCGTGTGTTGGGTTGCGTCATCCTGAGGGTCGATGCAGGCTGCAGCTTTCATGTGGCTCGCTCAGATCACACAAGAAGACTTCCTTCAAACACCAGAGGAACCTGACGAACCTCACAGCAAAATGAACAAACCGCGTTCTCACATTTCTGGGTTAGTTGTCGCCGCACAGTGTGCAAACACACACAGGAAAAGGCTCGGTGTGTTTTACATTTCTGTGAATCTTCTGTCTGTTTTTCTCATGGAAATCTTTGTGAACTGATTCTGCTGAAGCTGCATCTTTGCTTTACATAATTAATATGTTGTTTTTTTCACCAAGATGCAATATCACAATGTTTGTTACCAATAACTTCTGGTTTGAAATCCCCTGTGTCACGTACTGAACATCAAACGCCACTGAGCAAATGCAGCCTCAGCTGGTTGGTTTTTAGCCATCTAAAAAAAAGGTCCACCTAAAAATATCAACATCAGTTCAAATATACACTATATCTAGAATATTTTCACCGCTTTACCCTGACAGACAGCTTTTTCCAACAGGGAGCTGAAGCTGTTATCTCAAAGCCTCCAGACTTCACTGAAAAAAAGCAGTAATTTTACTTCCCAGAACACGGGAGTCGCTGGTCTACTGCTGCCTTGACTGGTTAGTGTGTAAGGTAAAGTGGATAAAATATCCCTGACATAGCTTACACCCAAACTGATAATGATTTATTTCAGGTGGCTTGTACACATTGCTTAGCTTCCATGCTGAAAGATTTGGTTTATCAAAGATGATAAAGATCTGACAAACATATTTAACTATATATCTTAAAATGTTATTGTTGCGGTGGAAAATAGTAGAAATCAATTTGCAGTTGTGTACCGGAAGTGATAGTTGTTGTTGGCGCAGCGTCAGGATGATTCATTCTACCTAACAAACATGGTGAGTACTTTTCCATGTCCTTTCTTAAAATGTTTTAGAACTTGGACTGTTTACATCAGCCTGAAGTTTTCTTCTTCTTTCTTCTAACCCTAACCCTCTTGTACATTAATGTCCCCAACTTTGTGACACTGCAGACGTCACAGTTGCATTTCTAAGACGCGCTGACCCTCATTTATGAATCTAACGTACAAACCAGATCTGAGTGCAGAAATCATCTAATTATCGAGTTCGCGTGTGATTCATGAAATGTTCGTATCTTGCCGATCAGGTGTTGATAAATGTGACAGCCGACAACAATCAGTTTCAGTTTATTTTATTTACAAAAGGACAGCACACATTAATCAACAGTGTTACTGTAAATGTGCCAGTTTTAGCCAGCCGGCTAATTTGCAACTGCAGTCCTTTGGCGAGATGTTATAGAGACCCAGACCAAGGAGCGCGTGGCCGCATGTATCAGGTCTGCGGACGAGACACAGACGCACCACCTGTGTCCGAGCTGGAAAACGGTAAACATTTAATCACCTAAGCTACTCGTATATAATATATATATATATATATATATTATACAAACATGCTTTGGTTTGTCAGTGTTTAAAAAAAGGTTTCTGATAAATTAGACCCAGGCACCAGCGTTCGGTCAGACTGAAGCCAGTCCAACAGAGCCAGGCAACTGCCCGCTGTGACTGAGAGCGCACGCTGATGTAGGCCTTCACAAAATACAATATTTTCTCATAGACGATACATTCTTAAGTGATTAATACTGAAAACACTTCGATGCCAGTTAGAATATGGTCTAATAACAGTTCTCCAGATTTACAATGCTGTCCTCGCTGACTCAAACAAACTTGCGTACACAAGTTGAGACCTGATGTGAGATTTGAGCGTAGCATAAATGTTGAGCTTTACATAGAAATGACGCCCCATTTTTTTGTTGTATGTTTATTTCATAAATGAGGGCCAGTCAGTCTTTGAGATAAAGACCTCAATTCTTAGCAACACATCAGATATTTTGGCACACAGGCTGAGCTAAGGACTGACGCATTTTAAAGGCCTCGGTTTGCTTCAAAGGAAGCACCGGTCCGATCGATGAACAGCGCCTGAACAGTGTCGTCCTCTGACAGGCAAAGAAACAAACAAAACAAACTACTCACGATTTGGTGGTTTGCTGCCAAATTTCAGACACTTCAAGAGTCAAATAAACATCAGCTTTAGTGTATTAGAGTGAATGGCATGTATTGATCGTGTAAAATGACAGTATCATTTTGTTTTGTAGCAAAAAAAAATTGTGGAAAATCTGACCTGTGTTCAAAACTGTACTTCAGTGTTTAAAACTACATCACTTCCTTCTGTTCTCCAACAAACACATTCCAGCAGTTCGTCCAGCTCTCCTCCGTTATTCAGGGGCCTCCAGAGGAAGCACTGCATCATGACGGGGAGAGTTTTATTTACTCCTGATGAACGTTGATCTACATCCTCCTCAGTGCCTCAGAGTCGAACTCTTCTCGTCCTCTTCCTCCTCCTCAGGGAGCCAGACTTCAGACTTGCAGACAGGACGGATGGGAATGATCTGCAGCCGGGGCGGTTCAGCCACGTTCCCCTCAGTCCGCCCGGCTCTCCTCTAAATGAGGCCAGCTATGTAAACAGGCAGCTCAGTGACGGATTACTGACAGGTCAGACTCTCTTCTCCAGCGCTGGACATCCTGCGGAAACGATACACCCTCTTTCTTTGAAGCTACTGCAAGATGGAAAAACTGAACTGAGAAGGGAAGCAGGACCTGGTCCCTTCATCAGACTGAGGATGGAGGTGGAGAGGGCGTCAGAGAATCTTTTAATGCTCCATACGCAGGAAATGTATGATTAAGGCCTGTTTGAACAGAGTTTGGTGTGAAATGCAGGAAAAAGAGATGACAACTGACAAAGGGGACCACAGCTCCACCTGAGTCCAGCTCCGTATTTAAACTCCCTCTTCAGGCATCAATTAAACTCTGTTCATCAAAACTGAAGGAAAACATTTCCAAAACCTTCCTTGGGGCTCCAGTAGCTTACTCCATAGGGACTTGGTTTAGGAACTGCAGAGTCACCAGTTAAAGTCCCCATCCTGACCCAATATGGAGTGTGAAGAGTGCCAGTTCACTTCCTGGACACTGCGGAGCTGCCCTTGTGCAAGGCACCGAACTCCCAACTGTTTGGGGCACCTGTCCATGGGCAGCCCCTCACTTTAACATCTATATCTTCTTCTTCTATAATGGCGTAGATGTCACTCTACACTTCCGTAATGAATATGCAGTTTAGCCCCGCCCCCCAGCTGCTCACCAGCATCTTGAGCGTACCTGCTCACCCTCTCCTCTGCTCATCAAACACACACACCTCTTCCTGGGGCAAGTGAAAACTGCAAAGAGAGTTGCAATTCTCTCTTGGATTCTGAGACTTTTTATTATGAGCATTCAGTTTTTCCCGTTGGTGGTTGGGGTGGGTGATTCAGGGCTGAGCCAACGATCAGCTGTTGCTGCTGCTACTGCTCCCCCTGGTAAGTATGCACTAACACAGCAGCGGCTAACATCCGACACTGAGCTGTTAAACGATCTCAGCAACCTCCCACAACACCGCAACGACTCCATTCAGTTTCTTAACCCGTTAATAACCGTTAGGTAATAGTAGCCGTGTGATGCTAACAGTTAACCCTGTCACTGTGTATGTGACTCTGTCCCAGGCACAGAGCTCTCTCTCCAGTAGTCTTAACATATACAGAGAGAAAAAAGGGCTGAGCGAATCAATACGCCATGCGCAGCTGTAAAATGAAATGAGATTTTACCTGTTTTAAACTGACAAATTTGCAGTAAAGTTGCAGTGATTGGACAAAATTGCAAGGTCACGACGAATTCTCAGGGATAATACTAGCTCCCCCTGCCCAGTCTTCAGTACATCCTCCCAGGCCAACCAACCAACAGAGAACATCCCTCTTCCACCTTTACCCCCCCCCCAACTTACGAAATAGAGGCTCCTTTTACACTGCCAGATTTTCGGCGAATGTTGGGCCGTTTTGCTGGCAAGCTGCGAGCGTTTTGGACACACAGAGCCGGATTGGCGAGTTAATCCAAGGAGCCCAATTTTCCACCTAATAGGGTAGACATATTGGTGGAACCTTTTTAGTTTAAACAGACTGAGGCGGCCTTCCGCAACGGGAGGGGCTGTTGATGACTTGTGGGAGGAGCTGTTGATGACGCCGCACATGCGAGCCACTGGCGGTGGATAAACAGGAAACAGCTGATAGCAGGAATTAGCGAGCAGCTAGTAGCAAGAGGGAAACACAAACCTGACAGACACTGTAAAGATGAGCAACTGGGGAGTCAAGGAATTGCGCACCCTCCTTGTCCTCGCAAACGAAGAGGCCATTAACTGTCAGATGACGGGGACGGTGAAGAACGGGCCGACTTATGAGAGAATCGCTGAAGGACTGACCAGCCGCGGCTTCCCTCCCACGTCACTGTTTACGTCACATGCTGAGCTACACGTTTTGTTACTTGCTCACGCCCCCCATTGCCCCGAAAAAGTTTCATTCTGTATAAACAAAAGTAGGTAGGCGGCATTTTGCTGCACTCCCCGATTTTGTTTTTATACTGCCAATGCTGAAAAAAGACTGATTGGGCTTTCCTGCAAATTTGCACAACTCCTATCTAAAAAGGGCTACAGATAGGCAGCTACGCCTGGCTTGTCCTCTGATAAGATCTTGGCTAGATGCTAACCCTAACATAACAACACTAACAACACAGGTTTGAAACCTTGTGGACATGTCAACAAGGTTAAACACTTGATTTACATCAGTCTTTTTATCTCCTGAATAAATTCATTTGCAAAATGTTGAAACATTCCTTTAAAGCTGAAACGTCCCTATCAGGGCTCCACGTCAGCAAACACGCACATGCGGACGTTCACCTGGTCTCTTTCACCTGCATGAACGTGGAAGGAAACAACTTTTCCTCATGTCAGTGTCTCAAACTCCAAACAGAAAGCCAGTGAGGTGTGTGTTGTGTGTGTGCTGCTCCTGTGTCCAAACCCCAAACAGGACGGCGACGTGTGTGTGGTCAAAATCACCACAGGATACCAAACCACTCCCGTCCTTTATGCTTCCTGTCTGACACCCAACACACAGACATCGCTGCAAACAAAAGCAGCATCTCCTGTCCAAATCCAAACCCAGAATAACTAAAAACAGCCCCTCCCTATTTTCCTCCTGACACAATGTTCAGAGCCTGAAAGGGAAAACAGTTTCTATCCAGGAATATGAATCCTGATGCACTGCATTATGAATAATGGCTCATATGACAGGATGGAGATGAATCTGGCAAATTTTGTCTCTTTATTTAAATTTTGCTCGTATTAAAACCACACACAGGAGTGACAGCAGGACACAGTGATGCAGAAACAAAATGACAAGATCCTGCACATTAACTGCTCTCTGGTATTCTCAGAGTTCATCAGGGTTTTAACAGCTGGAGGGGGGAAGAGTTTCTCACCGTGAAGACGTCATCGTCGCCGAGCTCCGCCTCATTCTGCAGGGTCGATGAGGACGTGGTCGACCCTGGAGGACACACAGGAGAATCAGAATGACAGGAAGTGACACAACTTCTTGTATTTCATCAGCTGCCTTTCACTCCGACTGCCAGGTTCAGATGTCAGTTTAGGTCGGTGCAGAACGCCAATGCTGCTACACTCTCTGCAACACATCCCCAGTAAATGCTTTGCAACAAGACAGTCTGCTACAAGGAAATAAGCCTTCTTGCTGTCTTGTCTAAGCATCAGTTTCATGTAGAGCAGATCTGACGTTCACTTCTTTCGCTGCCTGCCACTGTCTCTTTATCTGCCACTTTTACAGCTGCAACATTACAGTGAAATTTTGAGTGTCCAACACCTAATTTCCTGCATTCTGGTGAATTTGTATGCACCAATTTGCATCAGTTTATGGTGTTAATGTCTTTAATTTAATCAAAAATGGTCCTCTGCTACTCTTATGTTTTCACTGGGGAGGGGGGACATGCCCTCTGCGTCCCATCTGAAATCTACACCTATAATAGTGTGTGTGTGTGTGTGTGTGTGTGTGTGTGTGTGTGTGCACAGGCTGTTCTCACAAATTTTTTTGTATGCTTTCCTACGAAAAGCTGTGCCCCTAAATTCATACATATCCCACTTATTTTGGAAGGCTGCGATCACGTGACCAATGCGCTGACAGCAGTAGACAAGGAAGATCTCCTCAGCACTTGTACGGAGGCAGGTTTAGGCGGATGGGTCACATAAAAACAGACTTTCCCCTGCTGTCATTTGATAAAATCTGTGTGACCTTTGAGTCATTTTAAGGTACGTCCTCACAGCGTTTCTTTCCCTAAACCTGACCTACGTCACTGTACGTTAAGAACATGACATCATTCCTGGGGCGCAAATTCGTAGAATATCCTGAGCTGTTGTGCATGTATTTCTTTGCAGCTTGTCGTAAGAACCGTTCTATGAGATTACGTTGGTGTGCACCTCTTTTTATTGATGGTTATGGGTTAAAATTTGGATAATTGCGTCTGTCAATCAAAACTCATATGGTTCTATAGCCAATAGCGTTGCTCTCATAGAGCAGCTACGATGTGTCTTTCTGTTGTACCTTTTCTCTGTGCGCCAAAGTGGCGGATGACCTTACAATTTTACATGCCACTGCCAACAATTTACACACATGCAGGTGCTAATTTTAGACCCTGATACAGGGAAAGGTTCAGGATGTGTTTAGCCTAGCTTAGCACAAAGACTGGAAGCAGCGGGAAACAGTTAGCCTATAGCACCATTAAACCGAAAAAATCACCCTCCTGCCAACGACTCCAAAGCTGACTGACTGACATGTTGCATCTTGTTTGCTGACAAGCTAACACAACTTCACAGTGCGGATTTAATTTGTATGGCATGATTAATTAACTGGCTAAATCCTCTTGACTGGCTATTCCTCTCCAAGCACTGAGATTACTCATCATGTGAAGTTATTCTGTTGTTTGTACAGTGTTTTTAAATGAGTGGTTCCCATCTGGTGGGTCGCGGGTCCATTCTGAAAGGGGCGCAAATGACTCGCAAACGTATCATGTTTTTTAAGAGTCTTTATTTTGAAGTCAAGTAAATTTCTAACACAGAGGTTTTATTGTAAAGTGCTGTTTCCTGCTGTACTGTGAGTAACAGACAGCCACTTGACACAGACAGCAAAGTAGCCCGACGACATGGCCAACACAAGTATGATGCTAAAGATATCAAACTGTGTGGACCTTGAACTAACGACTAAGGAAAAGTCTGGACCCCATGGCTGGAGCAGTTTTAAATGAACATGATGATGTGGCTCTTAAAAAGTACCTCAATACTTTGCTGTAAGAAGGAAGGAAAGTCCCTTCGTCCCAAATGCACTTAAGTCCCTTTTTGGGGACTTCAGAGCATTTATCTTCGGAGTTCTTCGAGCCGTTCAGTGAGTGATCAGTGCGTACCTTCTGTCAGGTCCTCCAGGGCTTTCCTCACCCCACGGTCGAAGGCTCTGGCGTCGGCCGGGCTCTGGAAGGTCAGACCACACTTTCTGTTGTCCACCTTCCAGTGGTGGAAGGTCGGCGTGGCCTTCGTGTAGACCAGATCCTTCTTTAGGAAACACTCCAGAATCACCTGGATAAATAAATCACATCCCACAAACAAGGTGAGAAGACGTGAATTATAAAGACAGAGACCAGTAAAGTAGAAATTCTGCCCTACACGTCTCTGAATAACTGCTGAATGCATGCGACATGAAAAGTGCACAGACTGCTGAGGGGGATATGGTGGAAAAGAACAATAATGTGGAAATCTGTAAATCCACAGATAGTCCTTAGTACGTTGAATCAATAAACTTTTAGAGCACCTTGAACAGCTTGGTTACTTAAACACTACCTTATATGTACACATTTTACGATGAAATGAAGAGAGGAAGGAGCCGTCTACAGAACTGCATCAAGAGGAAATCCAAATAAAGAATCCTCCTCAAACTGTTTGATTGACTGGTGAGTTCTGCAGAAATATTGGGATGCAAAAACAGGCTCTTTATTGACGTGAACTGCAGCTGCACCCACCTGCTTGTCTTTGAGGCGTTCTCCGTGGATCAGGAAGGTGTTGCGCCCCAGCAGTTCACTCGGCAGCAGCCTGCACACGCCCACTCTGCTCAGGCAGCCGTCCTGCGCCAACCAGCCGCCGCTCGAATCGTCTCTGGTCATCACCACCGCTTTGACGCGCACAATGTAGCTGTCACTGCAACACACCAGAGAGACAGAGATACATCAGTTAGCATGGTGACCAGCTGTGGAGGAGGTGCGGTGAGCTGAAGGACAACACAGCTGACACCAAACTGATACCAAATCTACATGACTGACGGTTCCACCTTCAGTGAAAGCTCGAAACAGCAGCACAGTATGATTATTATCACAGAGCAAGCTTTGATCCAGACACAAAATATGGTCAAGACAAACAACAGTCATTTGTTGTGCAGGGCAGAATGTAAGAACGTTTCTCAGAGATCTCAGGTGCAAAATACAGAAATAAATATCATAACATAAGTAGCAGTTTGTTTTCTGAATCGTTCTGTTTTTGTTACCTTAGAATGAGCCGTTAATATCTACATAGGGAGCAGGTCCTCGTCTACGGATGTTGCACCATCATTTTCCCACAGTAGTCGGTAGTAACGGAACACAAGATAGGGCCATTTGCGTTTTTCACATTGACCGTTGTAGGTACCAGCCCCTCAACGACATGAGCATCAGAGAAACACCGTTTTGTTTTATGTGAACTGCTTTATTCAGTGTTTTCACCAGTTTAAATCAGCTGCTCTGTTTGTTTTGGAGAGGAAGAGACCTCTGTGGATAATTCAGCTCTCTGTAAAAGCCTCCTGAACAATGAACACTGAAGGAATTCCAACCAGGAGAAGTTTCAGCTGGTTGCAATCCTCAGTCCTCTCCACTAGATGCCACTAAATATCCCTAAATCTGACACACTGCTCCTTTAAATACATGTTTAAATGTCCATATTTACTTCCCAGCACTGGAGACAGAACCCTGGTGTTGACAGAGAAACACGTTTGAATCTGTGAGCTAGGAATCTAAATCTGTGTGTTTATAGTTGTCTTAAAAATGGAAGTCAAACTTTTTCTGATCAAGACTTTTGACATCTCTCAAGCAGCTCAGTAATGGTGATTTTGGTATCTAAAAACAGTGACATGAGTAGGACATGATTGAGAAACCTTGCATTTGAACACGCCCCAGGAACCACCTTCCCTGTGGTCACTTGCAGTATTGCAGCGAAATAAATCTCCTGTGGTCCAAAAAGCATTTTGCCCATAGACCACCATTAAAAGAGACGTCTGTAAAACTGCTGACAGGACTCCTTTAACTGCAAACAAGGTCAATTATAACTCTTTCTATTATGAACTTTTGATCCATGGATGTTTTATATCTTTAAAACTTTCCTAGCGCTGGGAAAAGTCTTTAAAAAAAATCTGTGACATCATCACAATGTGAAGTCTACTGCTGCTTTCCAATTAATTTGAAGTTGGAGGTCCGGAAATGACATCACAAACCAATAAGTTAACCAATAAGCCAGGTTAGCCAATGTTAGCAATACCTTAGCAACACCATAGCAACACGTCCACTGACAGAATCTGGACAGGATTGTGTGTGCGACTGTTATCATGTGACTCAAATTAGACACATCTGCTACTGATCAGTATATTACAACAGTACTACTGTTGATGCACAGAGCAGCCATATTGGATTTTGAGGTTAGGGTCGGTGAGGTTCCTCCAACATTCCAAGTCAGAAATCCGACTTCAGGATGTGTTCCAGTCAAAATTTCCATCTGGGAACATACAGATTTCGTCTTCGCAGTGCAAATCATAGATGTATAATAAAACCTACATACGTGACGTCAAGATAGTGCCTATTGAATCCAAACAAAGTTTCAAGCTTTTTTTTCCAGGGTATGCAGCCCACTGATTATGCACAATAGTGTTTCTGCTGCATAAGTGCAATTCTTACTGGACTGAATGGGCGCCATCTTGAGGCCCAGTATCCAGACCTAATAATATAGCCATGGATTAGACTGACCAGTGAGGAGCGAGGTCATGTCTGTGGTGCTGTCCAATGAGAACATGCTGCACTGTTAATGACACCAGCAGCAGAATCTGCAGCCGGGTGGCCTCGTCCTTCAGGTTCTTTACTGAGCGTAGCATTACTCACCTGTGATCACACACACACTCACACACACTCACACACAGGTAACCAAAACAAACCCTGTCCATCATCGGAGCTGCTGGCAGAGACTCAAAGAGGCCAAAGCACGTCCAGGAAAAATTACAACAAAAAACACCCCAAACAAACAAACAAACAAACAAAAGAATAATAAAGGTTTGGATTTAAAAATAAAAAAATAAAAAACAAAAACACTCTCCCTCCGTCTTGCCTTTTGTACTCCGACATCTCTCGTACATCCTGTTTCCACGGTCACAGTGTCACGGCGGTCTCCGTTGACGATGGGCTGTCGAGCTGTGCTGCCGCGCGCCGCCGACGCCACATCCTAACGGGCCTCACACACACACACACAAACACACACACACTGCTTCCCTCCGCTGTGTGATTCAGCCTGCCTGTCAAACAGATGGTGCTTGTGTGTGTGTGTGTGTGTGTGTGTGTGTAGCATGAGTCATCACTGCATTTGCCGGCAGCGTGCAGTGACACACACACACACACACACACAGGAGGGACTATATACTGGAGTTTGGTTCCAAAATGAGAGATCCTCCATTTGCAAACAGTGACACCTTCACTTACAAAATGACTGATGATGTGAAATTTCTTTTCGAGGCTGCAGTCAGATTTTTAGGACACTCATCAGTTGATGGGTTCGTCTTTGTACTTTAGTCCATCATTCCTGTCCTTCAGTATTCAAGGTTCGGTGAGGTAGGGCTCCTCGATAATGGAAAAAATCATAATCAGGATTATTTTGGTCAAAATTGAAATCACGATTATCCGGCGCACGTGATGACTTTTGTTGTTTACACCGCGGCATGTCATTTCTGTCTCTACATGGTCGCGCCTTTACAATCCTCCTCTGCTCTCTGTATCATACACAGTGATGGCACACACACACACGCACACACACACACACACACACACACACACACACACACAGACCAACCTCTCCCGCTCTCCTGCTGCCATTTTTCTGCATGCTGTTTTTGAAATCTTCCGCGATCACCTGCCCCTCGCACAACATCTCCAGGCATCGGTGACCAAAAATCGTTTACACTCGATTTCATTAATTTTGAAATCGTCTGACCTCAAAATCGTAATCGCGATCACCAGACGAGTAATTGCACAGCCTTACGGTGAGGTGAATTCAAACTTCAAGTACAGTGAGTTTCGGAGGTGGAAAGTCATAAGCACCTTTAATGCTGCTTGTTCAAAGTGGGAATTCACACCGCTATCCCGCCTTCTTTAACAAAAGGTAGGATCATGGAATTGGGGGAATAGGATCATTTTGCCTATGAGCCAGCAGCTGAGAAAGTAGCAACGCCCAGACGACGTCTGTGTGAAAGGGACAGCCGGCAGGACAGGACCGTGGACGGGACGGTATGGACGTGATGTTTTGCAAGCTTATCTCATAAATTGTTTGGATATTTTCTTTAAGTAAAGCCACCAAATTCATACATATCCAACATAATCATGAGCCAGTGACCTACGTGTTGTGGAAGTCTGCCATCACCTGACCAAAGCGCTTACTGGAGTAAACATGAAAGCGGTCCCGAGCGGTCCGGTAAGGAGATAGGTGGGGTGGTGGATGGGTCACAAAACACACAACGTTCCCTCAGTCTTTTTAAGGCACATCCTCACCATGTTTCTTTTCCTAAACCTAACCTCCGTAACTTTATGTTAATTATGTAACCTTACATAGAGGACGTAACGTCATTCATGGGGCACTAATTCATAACATATGATGTCATTTAAACTGTTGTGTGAGGATACATCATGTTTCTGCAAAAAAAAAGCAGCTAATAGCAGTTAGCAGCTAAATCAAGGAAGAGAATGAAAAGTGAAAATGCCGGCACATTGGGGAAACAATGAGGTCCAGGAGCTCCTTACCCTCCGAGCAGAGAACGAGTTCAGCCGCCACATAACAGAAAAGGTCAATGATTGTTTTGCCATGGTATCTCATTGTTGTCACACTGGAGGCCGACGCTGTTGTGTTAATGTCACAGCCGTCAAGCTGCTTTTGCTTCTGTAATGCTGGCATGCTGTCTAAAATCACACATCAGAGCAGGATGAAGCCGCTGTTGTTTGGTTCTGTGGGCTGAAGGGAGACACGAGTGGACACCAACAGGCATGAGTTCCCCCTCGAGGACACAAGGTGAAGACAAGACCAAAATATTTCAATCTGAATGACAATTACACGCAGATTCAACTAAACAAGGCTGTTGTCACAATTTTTTCGTACGTTTTCCTCTGAAAAGCGGTGCACCCAAATGTGTACATATCCCACATATTTTGAAAGGCTGCGATCACGTGACCAACGTGCTGACGGCAGTGAACAAGGAATCCCAAATGTTTGTAAGTGTCATGATCCTGGGTTTATTCTGTTATCCTATGGACTTTGTTTTGGGGTTTTTCTATTTGTGTTTCATGTTATTCATTCATGTTTAGTCTGCTTCCTGTTTTATTTTGTAGATTCTCTCCTCATGTGTCATGTCTGGTTTCACTTCTGTCTTTGTGTGTTTTCCCGCCTGTTTTCTGCCACACCTGTCTCGTTAGTCCTTCCCTGTTCCCAGTCTTCCCTTCACACCTGTTCTGTATTAGTCTTGTCTGCTCCACCCTTGTTGTAATCCAATCTCCATTTCCCTCCTTTAGCCTGTGTCCACCTGCTCCAGCTGTGTCTCGTCCTTGTGATCAGTTTTCTGTGTGTATATACCTGTATTTCACTTTGTTCCTTGCCAGTTCGTCTGTTGTTCATCCTGGTTTCAGTTCGTCTTTGTTGAGCCTGTGTCCGTCCTGCATTCATCCCTGTTCATCGCGTTTTTCACGGTTGGTTTTCAGTTTGGTTTTTGTTCTGCTTTCATTTGGATTTTGAGTTGCCTGCCTTAACTGGATGTTTTCAACCTGCTACATTAAAGCTTGCCTTTTGTTAAAGACTCAAACTGTCTGTGGTCTGCATTTAGGTCCTCCTCTGAACTGACACGTGACAGTAAGGAGGCAGGTTACAGTGGT